GGGGGCCCCAAGATGGTGTAGCATGAAAGGATTTGTGCCTATTATATAACTAATCATGTTAAAGAACATGATAAATTTTACAAAACTCGGATTTGGATCATTCCCAGGACAGGAAGCCTTTGTTTAAAATCAAAATCATGGTCAAAACAAGAAATAATTCCATCCAATATCTGTTTGGAATTCACCTAAGGCCGGTTTTTCACAGTAGAAGTCTTGACGTTTCTCAAAAGTGGATAGATAGAGAAAGTGCAGAGAGAGGCTGCATTGCAAGTCCCCACATAGTGATGTGTGAATCTGGCCGCGACGGAAAAATAAAATGAAATAAACATGGCACATGGGGTTTGTCACCTGTGGCAAAATAGTGGAACCAATGTTTTATTATATTTTTTCAACTTTTTTAAGTTTTAAACATTTAAAGTGGAGAATCAAGTTAGCAAGATTTATAGATACGTAACTGTCACTCTTATTTCCTGCTTGGGTAGGCGGTCTACCCCATGCTTCATTTGCTTCTATTTCTTTCCAAGTACTTGCAATTCCAGTCCAGTCCAGGAACAATTGGATTAGAAATCAGCACCTCAAAAATTTGATGTCAGGATGCCAATATGATGTCAAGACTGCAAAGAAAAGCCTGAATTACTTATCCATTCGGTTACAAGTATCTTTCTCGTACCCCTGCTTTCTTATCTTAGATAAATAAATCCTTCATTGATCCTTCTAATCAACCATTTTCTCTCCATTTGTGGGAACCTCAATCTGAACCGTCTCTTTTTATACACCAGGAATTTCTCTTCTCTCTCAAAAATCGTGACTTTCCTTCTTCCCCTGTTATCCCATTTCAATCTCCCAACAAGAGAAAGAAAATGAAAATTCCATCTTTTGTCCATACCATTACCCCAGTAGTGCTGTTCATTCTCCTTCAATTCTTTACCTACATGGCCTCAACCTCAGCTACCTCACCATTCCAAACCCGAAAAGACATTGACTACATCAAAATTTCATGCAACACCACATCCTACCCCAGGCTCTGCTACCGTTCCCTCTCAATCTATGCCAGCGAAATCAACTCCAGCCCCAAACTCTTAGCCAACACCGCCCTCAATGTCACCCTCAGGGCAGCGAAATCCACTTCAAGGTTGATGACAAGGATCTCGAGAATTCCCGGATTGAGACGGAGGGAGGCGGTGGCACTGGCGGATTGCATGGAGGTGATTGGAGACTCAGTGGAGGAGATACAACAGTCTATAGAGGAACTGGGTCATATAAACCGCTATAATTTTGACATCACCATGAGTGATATTCAGACATGGGTAAGCGCCGCGCTAACGGATGAAGACACCTGCATGGAAGGATTCGACGGGACGGCCATGGATGGAAAGGTTAAGGGTATGGTGAGGAGACGTATTGTTAAGATTGCCCATTTGACAAGCAACGCCTTGGCCATCGTTAACGACTATGCCTCAACTCCTACCAACATGCCCTAATAATTTTCTGTTTGTTTCTCGGGAAAAAAGCAAAAAAAGATCTGAAGAAGTAAGTTGCATATGATTAATATGAGGCTAGTCTAGATTTCTGTAATAATAGAAGCAGGGGACTGCAATTTCTTTTTTGTGTGCCATAAAATTTAGGGGAAATGTATAATGAAATGAAGATGTAAATTATATGTAAGTTTTTGGAATTTTTGTTTTGTAGATTAAATTTAGTATTCAAATTACTAAATTATTATTAATAAAATAATATAAAAATAATTTTATTAAAAATATTTAAATAAATTTATAAGTTGAATTGTATTTTTAATATGTAATTTGACTTGTAATTTTTTTTTATTTTTTATTTTTTATTTTTTATAGAGATTAATGTTTTATAATTATTTGAACATGGTGTTTTAATTTTTAATTAGCAGGTAGGAGATTTTTGTGGTAAAGGGATATCATGTTCCTGAATCATGATCCAGGCATAAAAGCTGGATAGGGCTTTTGGAGACAATGAATTTTTTTCATATTTTTAAAATGAAAAATATAAGAGTTAGACGCCTTACTTCTCTTTAGTTTTATTTTTCCTTTTAAAAGAGAGATCCCCTGTCTGTTCTTTTCTAAAAATTTCTTGCTTTTTAATGCATGAAATGATTAAAGCAATTTAAATGTGTGATCATAATCTACCAAAGGAGAATATCATTCATTTTTTCTTTTTTCTTTTTGTTGCTAATATCTTCCTTTCTTTAGATTCTTGACCATAGCAAATCACGAATTTTTTTGAACCAAAATCATCATATTTTTGAAGGCAAAAAAACATCATCATATTTTTGCTTTAAAAAATGAAAATCAATGATCACAGCATGCGCTGTTGAGTACCCTCTGATAAAAAAAAAAAAGTTAAAATATTAAATTAGTCCCTTAATTTTTTGATTTATAATAAAATTATTTCTTAACTTTAAAAAACATTAAAATTATTCCTAAATTTTAATTTTTGATAACAAAATAGGTCTCAAACTTTAAAGATAACACCAATTTAGTTCTTAAACTTTGAAGATAAATATCAATATAATTCTTAAACTTAATTATAAATATTAATTTAGTCTTTTAACTTTAATTATATATTAATCTGATTTGTAAATAAAAATATATTATAATAGTAAAATGTGACTGTTTGATTTTATATGTTATTAATATTTAAAAAATTGATTTTATGTCAAACTAATGAGCTACGTAACATTTTTGTCAACGAAAGAACTTTTTTGGTATTGAAAATTAAAGTTTAGAGATAATTTTGATATTTTTTAAAATTGAGATATAAATTTGATATAAACCTGAAAGTTGAGGGACTAAGTTAATATTTTAACTTAGAAAATGACAAAAAAAGAAAAAAGAGGGAGAAGAAAATTGTGGACTTGAGAGTCGAGTCCATGATTCTACTTTGGGCCTTAATCCAAAACAAATCTTACTATTAGATTAGATGAGAGCCCATTAACATTATGGTTTGTACGGCCCAAGTTAATGCCTTTCTCCAACAGTTGTGGCCTGTGGTGGGAGGACACGGGATAATTCAATTTAGATTGCATTCGTATCATATCTTCCTAAGATTTGTGGTCAAGGATATTCATTTTCATGGACATTAATTTCTTGAATTCGCGGGCACAATTGGCCAATTGCATCCAAATTCTAGACTAAGACAACATGCACAATGTTTTTGTGCTTGGATTAGACAATCTGTGCAAGAGGGTGAATGAATTAATATTTAGTAGCTTCTCCATGAAGAGGGATTAATTTCCCGATTGATTACATTCCTTCTTCATATAATTTTGGGATTGTGACGGATTGATACACATTGTCCAGAAGTTTACTATAAATTGGATCCTTTTTCCTCAACAAAATTCATCAAATTATCTTATTCCTTGACCTAATTCGCGCAACAATGGCAAGGCCACCTTTAATCCATCCCCTGTTGATTCTCCTTGTTCTTCTTCAATTCTGCACCTTCATGATGCTTACATGCTCCGCCACTAGAAAGTTTGATCATAAGAACCACAGCATAAACAAAATGTACATTAAAAAGTCATGCGGAAACACAACCTATCCCAAGTTGTGCTACAAATCACTAGCACACCATGCAGGCAAAATCAAAGCAGACCCCAAATTATTAGCCCAAGCAGCCCTCAACACCACCTTCTATGCTGCAAAAGCAACATCAAAGATGTTGAAGGAGATGTCTAGAATTCACGGATTGAAGCGTAATGAAGCTGCTGCAATGTTGGATTGCATTGCAGATGTCAGAGACGCGATGCAGGAGCTGGAGAAGTCTACACGAGCGATGGATGTTGTTGAAGGCACCGATGTTCAAACTAAAATGAATGATGTTCAGATGTGGGTGAATACCGCGTTGGAGGAAGAGGAGACTTGCATGAATGCACTATTTTCTAACAAGGCCATCAAAGGAAAGGTAAAGAATGGGGTAAGGAGACGCATTCTGATGGTTGCACACTTAACTAGCAATGCGTTAGCTCTGGTTAAGAGCTATGCCTTGGCTCAAAACAATTCCACTTAAAACTTAATTTGGTTCCCGGAAATTGAAGTAAAAGGGAAAAGTTTAAAGAAGCTAAAAAAATAAAATAAAATTGAAAATAAATAAATAAATGTTATTTATTTATATATTAAGGCAATTTCAGTAAAAGTTTACAAAATATATAAAATTATGAAAGGAGTAAGCTTTGTCCTCTTATTTCTTGTCCGTTGCTTCACATATATTTTCCGGGGAATAAACTTAACATAAACGTCAAGGTCTTGTAATTTATAAATGATGAATAAGTGCTTATTTCACTACTTAATTATTAATTTCTATACATATTTAAATTTGTACCCATGGTTCCACAACTTGTAATATATTTACTGCTCAAGGTAGGATGTGGTTATTGTCCCCACAAATTTGTTAAGAACATTAAAAGTTGTTTAATTTAATTTAATAATTTATTTATTAATAATTTATTTTTAAATAGTTAATTATGATATTTAAAAATATTTATTTATAAATTAATTTTAATATATTAAATAATAATCATTAATTATTAATTATTTTAAACAATTAAATTAAATAATCTTAACAAAATTATGCCCGGTTATGACTACACCCCATAAAAAAGAGAAGGATGAAAAATAGGCTTCGAGGTCTCAAGGAATTGGGTCTGATCCATTAAGACTTCCCCTTGAACTGATTGGACCTTAATTGTCCAGAAAGGATAGTATTCTTTAGTTTCGGGACCCATGTAGGCCCAGTCCAAGAATAATATACGTGCCCAATAATCCAAACGTGTGGATGATTCAGACTTCAAGCATGGATGATAGGCCCAGTGGTATCCACTCAGGATCCTTGGCCCACCTCCGTGGCAGATGCGGATAGTTGAATTTCTTATGTACGTGGCAGCTTCTTAACCGTTGGTTCTTCACAGTGTCGTCCAAGGCT